ATTTGTCACATTCATTGCATTTGTAAGGTTTCTCTCCTGTATGAATTCTCTGATGAATTCTCAGTTTTCTGTTTTGAGGAAAGCATTTGTCACATTCACTGCATTTGTAAGGTTTTTCTCCTGAATGAATTCTCTGATGAACATTCAGTTTAACTTTGTGGGTAAAACATTTGTCACATTCACTGCATTTGTAAGGTTTCTCTCCAGTATGGATCCTCTGATGAATTGTCAGACTGCCTTTTTCAGTAAAGCATTTGTCACATCCATTGCATTTGTAAGGCTTGTCTCCTGTATGAATTCTCTGATGAGCACTCAGATTAAGTTTGTGGGTAAAACATTTGTCACATTCACTGCATTTGTAAGGTTTCTCTCCTTTATGAGTTTTCTGATGAGTACTAAGATTGGATTTTTGGATAAAATATCTGTCACATTCACTGCATTTGTAAGGTTTCTCTCCTTTATGAATTCTCTGATGAATTCTCAGACTGCCTTTGTAAGTAAAGCATTTCTCACATTCATTGCATTTGTAAGGTTTGTCTCCTGTATGAATAATCTGATGAATACTAAGAGTGGATTTTCGGACAAAACATTTGTCACATACACTAAATTTATAAGGTTTCTTTCCTGAATAAATACTCTGCTGAATTTGAGGATTGTTTCTCTGAGTAAAGCATTGGTCAAATTCACTATATTTGTGAGGGTTCACTCTACTTTTATTTTGTTTCAGCAAAAGTTTATGTTTAGATACCAAAACCTTATCAAATTTTGTATTTCTATTGTGTTCTTTCATCTCCTTCTGGATTCCTTGATTGAGTCTAATAATAGAAAACATCTTTTGACAATTTACACAGTCTGTATATTTGCAAACTTCTTTAATTCTCTCAGTTTTATGTCTTCTTAGGTTTGACGATTGTAGAGAAGCATCCCTGTGGTTAGCTTTATATGTTGTACTTTTCGTATATTCATGAATAATATTGCTAAGCTTGTTACATTTTAAAGACTTCCCTTGGATTTTCACATGCTCATGAACAA